AAAGCCTACTTTTATTGTAGTGCAAAACCATTTTTTTGTATGTTCACACTTTTTTTTTTTCATTTTGGTAATTAGCTTGTATGAGGAAATTTATTCAAACTTTTAAAAATTTCATATCATAATTTTATTATGTATTAAAAAATGTTGAATTAAGCATTGATTGAGTCCAAATATTGTGTATGCATAATAATTTGAAAACATAGATAAACTCTTGCTTATTTCCATCATTTTCAGAAATTTACAGAAATTCATCGTTGTGGAGTAATTAAATTAGCACCTTTTCATGTTTCAAATGATTGTTTAATTTTTATATTATTTTTATTACAACGAATAAAATAATTATTTTTGGCTAGATCAAATAAAATTTATGTTTCATAACTTACCTATGAATTAGAGGAAGTCAAGGAGGAAAGACTTGTCTTTGCAGTTTTTTTTAAAGGTTTTTTTGCTTTTTGTTTAGAATGATAAACTATTAATTTTCATGTTTATTGCAACTTGATTTTGTCTTCCTCATTTTTTTATGTTAACTTTTTATAATCTATGAAATAAAAAGGTAAATTAATTATTAAAAATTTGATAATTTTTTCTAGCATCAATATATACAAGTTAGGAAATATAAAAAAAAATCTCAAAAAATGACGAATAAAAAAATAAAATTAAAAATTTAAAAAATTTAAAATGACACAATTACACCCGGACCCAACTCAGATGTATTGCACATGAAAATTGAGTTTGAAAATAAATAATTATTTTCTTAAAGATCATATAGTATAGTTTGATGGTTATAAAAAGTAGTAAAGAGAAATAAAATAAAATTAAAAAAAATGAATAAAAAGGGACTATTTTGTTATTCATATATTTTTGGGGTTATTTTTATGATTTTTGAAACTATCAGGCTCTTTTTGGTTAAAAAATAATGGAAATTCGTTAAGTTTAACAGAAATTGGGCAAATTGGGTGAAATTGACAAAAATTTCAAACAGTAAGGACAAAATTGGCTAACCGAAAATCAATGGGGTAGAATGAATTAGTTAATGTGTTTTTTCCGTCTGGCTTAGCTTTAGTATGAATTAGTTAATGTGTTTCATTATGAGATTTATTTGTTCTCCCCAGCACATGCATGCACAACATTTTCAGTTTTTTAAATGAATGAGTGAGACTAGTTTTGAAGGAGTTCAAAATACTTTGTTATTAATTTCATTTTTGTCTGGTTTTGTCCCTTTTCCGCTTTATGACACCCTTGTGTTACGACTTATGCAATTCATTTATGGATTTTCTTTTTGATGAACTCATTGTGTCACTGTGTCTTTTGATCTATATTAATATCTTCATCAATCTTTTTCTAGTTGCTCTGATATATTGTTTTCTTAAGTCAACTTAGGGATACAAAGGAATGAACTATTAGTATGATTGTGGAGATTCATGACCAGGGTCTAGGGTTCCTTAGAGAGAGAGATTTCTCTAAGTTGAAACCTTACAAATTACCATGCAGATGTACATTAACTACTCTAATGCTATATTCTTTAGATAAATAATCATCTATTACATTTATTAATCATAGTTTATGTATTTGGATGCTGTTCTAGAGTTTAATTTGAGAATGAGAATGTCTTTTTTTCCCTCTCCTTTCATTCTCTCAAAGTATGTTTGAAATGTGTTACATTGTTTTTGCCTTATTGTAGTTTTGATGCATTGTAACTTCAGGAACAAGTTGGATTCATGTTAGCCTTGGAACCGATTAAAACATTGTTTAATTTCATTCAGGTTTTACTAAATTGTTGTCTAGATAGACTAGCCGCGTGCAAAGAAAGTTCAATATTTTAAGCGGTGGTCAGAATTTTAACTACGATCGGGGATTAGATTGATTTCTATAGGATATAGTATTATCAAAAACTTAGTATTGCCATTTCAAAAAAAAAATAAAAAAATTCTTAGAAGTCATTAATTGTTGTAGTGAAGTTTCACTTTTGTAATGGAATCAACCACGTAATTGTTGATGCGAAATTTTTTTCTGAGTTATGAAGTTATAAATGTATTTAGGATTCCAATTTGTTTTTTATTTTTTTTAATAATTCTTTTTTCATATTGCGTTGTTTTTTGGTGCCTCTATTGCTGGTGCACGTGATGTTTAGTAGTTCTATTAAAGCGCTTAAAACTATCAATATATAACATGGGTTTGTCCTAACAGCGTATATACCACACCAGTAGTCAACGCTGTTAAAAAATAGAGTATATATCGTTGTAGATACATATGAAGACAACTTTTAGTGTTATCAAAACTTTTATTTCTTTTCGCGTTGACAAAAGGAAATTAAACCAATAAAAGATAGGTGAAAATAAGATGTTCTCCCAATTATATTCTTCATTATTTTCCCATTCATACCATACAAAATAAATTAAAAACCTTAAATGTACCGGAACATCTTATATACCCATAATTAACCCTACTCATACTAATCATACTATGGGGATGGAAATAAAAATATTAATATATTTCTCAATTCTAACACATCACTATTTTGAAAATATTTTTTTTATGTATTGGAAGTACTATGAGCAACAACAACATGAAAAAAAAATTTAATTCTTACTGATCAAAATATTCAAAAGAAAAATATATCATAAAATAATTTTATAATTATAGTCACCATGTCTTCATTTCAAGAATTGCAAAATCATCATTACACCATGTATCAGTAATGTGTGTGTGTGTGTGGGGGGGATATGAAACACTTGAAAAAGAACCTAGTTACATTTAAAGCAATCAATTATTTTTATTTCTTAAGATTTGGGTGATTTTTTTTTCTTTCATCTAGTCAACAATGGCCAATGTTAAATTTAAAGCCAATCAATTATTTTTATATATCTGATAATGGTTAAATTGTTACATAAAAGCATCACACTTAACTTTGTATTTGATGAACAATTGGGGGTATTTCCTAACATTGGTGCAATTTACTTAGCTCATTTTTATATTATTGTTAGGAAAGGACCGGACTGAATAATTGCTGAAAAGTGGGAACCAAAGGAGCAAATTACGGACTGCTGAGGCAAGGATGCTGAGCTGGACGGAGAAGAAGGGCCTTAGACAAGAAGCATCTTGTCATTAATGACATTGTCTCCTCCTAGAGGCATGCTTGTCCCCCAGCCGCAATCCCAGCCACCACTGCTGATCAATGAGAGCAGAACGGCTGCTGCTGGAAGAGAGAAAAGGAACGGCCAAGTTGGATGGCAGGCTCAAGACATTGGAAGGATTAAACAACTCCAAGCATGGGGAGGTTCTCATGATGAAGACACCGGTTGCGAAGTACTATAAAGAAGGGAAACGGCACTCTCACAGGGGCATCTCTCCATCAGTCTCTGATTAGCTTCTCAGTTACTAAAACCACTCAGAAAAACTCCAGGTAGAAGGCAAGAAAGAAGAAGAAGCAGCAACAACTCAGTGAGGAAGCTAAGTTGAAGAGTAGCAACCCAGTTTCTTCTTCAGTTCCACGAGTGAACCCTTTCACTCCCAGGAGTGACTCAGAAACTGCACAAGCTTCCTTCTCATCTCTTGACTGTTAGCTTGAACTTTATTTATTATGCATACTTCTATGATGTCCTTCGATGTAGTAGATGTAGCATTTATCCATATGAGTAGCTAAACAGTTTCCAGGGGTTATTCTCCTCAACTGATGTTGTAGTTGTCAAAGCACTGGTTTTGTTCCTTGTTTTGTGGTTGAAAGTTTTTCTACATTCATTTACTTGATCACTAAATTGAATGCATGCTAGAACTAAGGGAGATCTGGAAGGATAAACTTGGATTGGATTGTTTCAACTTTAACTTATGACATAGAGGTAACAGTCTATGGTTTTAACTAAGATAGGAATATACTTAGTTAACATAAGCATTCTTGAAGGCCTAAGGACTTAATGACTTTGTAGCTGGAATCAATCATTGGAAAATAGGTTGTTAAGGTTGCAAAGATGACTCTAGGAAAAATGGGAACTGACTTAGAGTTATAAGTGAGCTGAATGAACAAGAACTCAACCATTACAGTGCTAATAAAACAACTACAGCAGCAGGAAGAGGAGAAGAACACCCCTGGCCTCCATTCCCCCGAGTGACTATTTTCATTCTCCAGAGTGACATCTTGTTGACTGACAGTTTTCTTTACAACAAATTTGGTAATTAGCTGTTCTCGTGGGATCGACCTAGCTTCCACTATCTACAAAACCCATAATCCAAGCTAGTAATATTTATCTTTTTTTTAGTGAACTCGGCAAGCACCAATATCCTTGCTTTTTTTTGTTTCAGAGATATTGTTCAACCACACAACCTGCAAAAATAAAAAGGCAACAAGTCATCACTCATTAATGTCCAAAATAAAGTAATATCTATAAAAGAGAAACAAAATGTCAAATCTATAAGAAGAAAAATGATATACATATTTTCCACTAGGCTAATGAGTAATGATTGTGAGAGGAGGAACCGATGATGAACAAATAATTTTATATTTATATATTTGGGATAATATATCTGACAATGAGATTAGAACGATCAAAGACTAATTTGATTATGATAAGATTGTAAGTTTAAAATTTGAATTTTGAAGAATAGATTCATTTATGATTTGGGCACAAATGCTACCTTGTAATATCGGAAGCAAACATTCTAGAATGCATTTTCTTGAGAGATTGTCGGGATTTGGAGATTATGAGAAACTACCGTCGATAGCTCTAATGTTTACCTCTAAAGTCACTGCTTTTGGATCCGTTGCCGGACTTTCTGAGGAGGATTCAACTGCATAGTTCGAGGAGATTTTGTACTTGCATGAGAGAGTTCGCCATTTCAAGGGCCTGTCAAAGAATTTTGAGGATTTTATTGGGGCTATTGTAAAGGAACTTGGGAGAATGACTCAAACCCTGGACAAATTAAGTACAAGAACTTACTCTTCCAAGTGTGTGACAAACTATTTTCTAGATGGTAAGTATAATCCAACTTCATCACATGGAAAATATATGATACACAATTACCATTTCGGTTGTGGCAAGATCCCTTTAGAGGTCAATGAGGGGGGTTCATTCCAGGTCCTACACCGGAATTGGACATTGTTATTTCGGAACAACTTTGCTACAGCTTCTCCTCGTGATGAACTAGCTACAGCTGAGAATCCCAATACTCCTAGTATTGGCGAGGCTCGTGTGGATACTAAGAATGCGGTGGCTTTGTGTGTTGCTGCACCCCCTAAGAATGGGGCTACTGTTGGTGGTATTGTCGTTCCTAACCATGATGATGTTGATGTTGTCGCTGAAGAAGTTATTGTGGAAGCTCCCAACGAGGTTCTTCATGCTGATGAGGCGCCTCTTGCAGCCTCAACAACATTTTTGATGCCAATGATGTCCCTCTAGCCGTTGTTCAAGCTTCTAATGGGGTTCTTGATGCTAACAATATTGTCCCTACAGTTGCAGTCAATGCTATTCTTGATGCTAATCAGAAGTTGCTGTTGTTGAGATTGCAATTCCTCTTGTAAGCGCCAATGGTGATGGTGAGACGGGTGCAAATGGTGATGTTACCGCCGAGGATGGTGATGTTGGAGAGCATGTTGCTAGTCAGTCTTCTGCAATTCATCATCACATGATAGTAGTCAGTATTTATCAAGTGGGTCGGCAGGTTGTAGTAGTAGTAGTATGGCTACAACTAGGAGTACTTATGTTAATGTAGTCGATTGAGGGATATGAAAGCGTGTTGAAATCTAATCTATTGTGCCAGTGAAAGATTGACTTCCTTTCCCAAAACGACTCAAGTATTCCCATTGTAGTGTTTTAACAGTCTGTTTATGTCTAGATTAGTATACCAGTCTCTTTCTTGCCTACGTACTCACAACCTATAACGATTCAATTCACTATTAGAACTTGTTTGCATTTATTTATTTTTATTTTTGACATCTAATTATGTAAAAATTCTCTTATTAATTAACCGGCTACAAAAAGCTAATAGTCTCAAAAGTAACAGAATATATCTACTACCAACTTTGAATAAAACACAAGAGAATTAGACAAGTAGTTGTACATCACTAGTTTAGATAGATGATACTCTATCAGTCTATCTATACATCCGAGGTAGACCACGAATGAGAAAGACAGAGGAGGCCTGACCTGCCTTAATAGAGATATAGGAATAAAACACATTCACCTTTTTGTCCCAATATTCTTTGCGTTGCCTGTCATATATGAAGCTGCATCCATTGCTCCAAATGCTTTTTCAGGGCATAAGTTTAGCCTTGGCGAGCTTTTTCTGTCGCCACATTCCTGGGTTCAGTCCCCATTTAAGCTTTAATCATGACATTAGCCATAATGCTCGAGGCAGAGCCATAGGTGCCGTGGAACCTTTCTCTTTTATCATTGGCCATATCAGAAGCCATGTTCAAGGCTTAGCCCCCTCTCTCAGATGCCATGGCATAGGCATCATAAGCCTTTTCTTTTCTCATCTCTTTGGTGTTACCATCCATATCACATGCATTTTGAGAAGCATAGCCTGAGGTCTTTTCAGCAGCATTGGAGACTTCCTCCGCCATTCTACGAAATGTAAAACCCTTTTTTGTCTTTTCATTTTTTTTTCTTTTTGGTACAAAAGAGGAGGCATAACGCCTATGATGAGGCTAGTGCATTTTGTGGGTATGAGACGCCCGCAAATATTGCTATTTCAAAAGATTCTCCACACTGAAAAGGATGTAATCTTTCCATTCTATACCCACACTCGCAAGTGTTTTTAAAGTGGTCTTTCTTTTGTCGTATCTTATTCAATAAGGCTTGAAATAAAAGTTTTTCCCTAATTTGTGAATAGTACTAAACTTATATTGTAAACTTATACAAGATCGCATATATTATTTCTTTCAATATGTGATTTTCATGTTCACTTTTCTATTGGATAGAGAACTATGGTAGACATTTCATAGATAGATTTTATGTAATGTAAATAAGTTGGTACTCTACTCACCACCTGTCTAATGTCTAAATTCTTTTATCAAGTTAATTTTTGATGTCAATTTCTTCGAAATTCAAATCTATCCATAGAGAATCTCTTCTTAAAAAATCTCAAAAGTTCATTATCTAGAAGATGGACCTCAACGGGAAACATCATGTTCATCTTTTTCTATGCATACAATTATCAATTTTCATTTTTCACAAAGTGGTTTGATCAAAGAATTAATATCAAGGTTTGAATTGAAGAACTAACATCTTTTTTTAACCATTGACTATTGTTCTTCTCAGAATCATTCATAACACATGTAAGAGTTTTTTTTATAAAGAAAATATGACCAAATTATCAAAATATCAGTAACTTTCCTTAAAAAGATATAGATAACTCCTTTTTAAAGGTAAACCATAAAGAATGAAAAGGAAAAATAATTCATTAGACTTAAAAGTTTTAGAAGAGATTAAAACATCCTGAAACCCTTTCTCTAATTTACTAGGAATTAGGAGAAAAGTTCACGGTAGAATATTCAATTTGTAGGGAAGTCTTTAAAGATACGCCTAAATCCACCCTCATCCTTAGTCTTCGACTTCCTTAAAATATATGTATCGGACTATACAAATTTATCAGTACATGTCTACCATGTAAGCGTCTCTGACCCTCATGGATCAATTTGACTATAAAAGATTGCTTCATTATTGTTGGTGAGATAATATGCTGGGAGCATACTACCAAAGCATCATGCATAATGGTGTTGAGGATCAAGATATTTGGGTCTCACTTTCTTATTAATCATCTAAAAAGCCCCAAACCCGACAAGTCATCAAATGAATATGGTGTATATGCATCACTTGGATCTAGTGTAGTAGCTGTTTGAACCTTTACACTGGTATTTCGAGTGCGTTTACGGATATGTGAACTAGCAGCCTTGATAAGCTTAATAGGAGAAACCTAAATATTGTCAAGAGCCTCGGATTTCACAAATAATAGAGCTGTAGAGCTGTAGAGCATCTCACTACCTCTAGAGTGTGTCTTATATCATCTAAAGCCCTGTGCTTTTGTACTCCAAGCCCTATGGAGAGGCGATTTTTGTTCAATCTTCCCCAAAGAATTCGTTAATGAGATCCAAGGCATCAATTGCAAGTCTAAATGTCGGGGAAACAAGCCCGATCTTCTCAAATGCCTTTGGTGATGATTGGCTTTTCAATTTCCCGAATAGTATACCCAAACCAAATCTTGTTGTCTAGAAGTTCTTTGATGCGTTTAGCATGTGATTACAATAATTTTGTTGATTTAAGAGTGTCACTAAACTTGTCCCTCATAAAATTTTTCGAGCGGTAATCCACTCCGGGACCCATACAATCTAACCGAATGAATTCAATAAACTGTAGCGTCTCGTCTTGCACTATAGTTTGCGGATGGATTGTAATGATCACAATTCCTAAAATTATGCTATCTATATTGTCTTGCTCTACATTATTAAATTATACATCGACGCCCACAATATAATATCGAAACGACCCGCCCCACGAGAGCGGGCTGCATTGGTGTTCTCTGGATCTATTTTAAGAATAGAAATCCCATAAACTCAAGAAAAGAAATCGAACTCACAAAAGAAATAACCCTAATTAAAGGGGTTAGGCTAGTTGAGAATTGACCACCAGTCAAGGAATATATAGTTTTGGTATTAAAAAATTCAAACAGAAGACCATCAAATAAGTTGATGCCTTCTAAAAACGATCTGCTTCCTTAAAAAGGTTTTCTAAAGATGACAGATGAGTAAGTCCCCAATGAATTACAAAAGGATGAGGATGATAAATAAGGGAGTACATTCTTCCTTTTTTGGGTTTCAATTTTTTTCTTCTGAAAAGCTTCAAAGGTCACATAACAAATGTAAGAGTTTTCCAAGGTTCTTCCCAAAAAAATAAAAATAAAAAAAACGAAATAAAGATTGCATGCTTAACAATGCAATGAAGACCACAATTTTAAGTATAAGTCATAAATAATACATTCAAATTATTTCCATGTTGTCTATGTAGCACACTACATTTTGTCATGAATAAATGCATATCATCGTGACAAAAAAATGGACACCCAAAAGTCAAATTCACAGGACATAAAATCATATGTATATGTACAATAAATTAAAATACCATTTCATTCTTTTATGAAATCTTTATATCAACAATTTACTAGTTTTCATCTTGATTAACCAATAGCGAATTGACATACAACCTTTTGGTAGGTTCTCAATCAATACTGAACCTTTTTTGAACAATTAAAATTAATTAAACATCAATAGTCTAATTCCTAATTAGGGGTACCAACCAAATCATTTTGATTTTTTTCTTGTTTCTCTGAATGTTCAAAATATCATGTGTAGCATTTTCATATATATCATGCATCATATATGTCAAAACCAACATTTCTTATACACTTGTGTTGAATACTTAATTTAATCAACCAAGATTAAAAACATTACTATGACACACTGTTTATGGAACATTAGGATGATAGAATGTTTTTAATAATTTTTTTCTTTTTTGATTTTAATATGAAAATAAATTTGTTATTAACTAAGAAACCAAAACCAAAGTATTTGCGTTGAAATTGATCAACACAAGCATTATGTTCGCATAATAAATAGAAGATGGAACGAAATGATATTATGGCAATTGAAATATCTCAATCATTATTGACAAATATCCTTTGATGTTGTTCCACTTTAGTGGCATTAAATTGATTATTATGACCCTTACTTTTTTCAGCTTAAAAGTTGGTGGTATGTTCCCAAAGTTTGTCTTCTTTCTTCTTCTTTTTTTCCTTTCAAAATTTCATTTTTTGTTGTTTTGATTAATCGGATTACTTTCTCAAAGTGACATTTGATGATTATTGTTGTGGTTTATTGAATTTACACAATATACAACGACATATGTCATCATCCCCGGTAGAAGGACTTTGGTGACTCTAAATGTGGGATAGTTTTAGCTGGTAATGGACAAATGATAAACGATATTTTAATGAGGTTTATGTTGAGTTACTTTGTATAGCATATTCATGTATATATCAATTTCTATATGTATCTATCTATTTTAGCTTTGAAAACAATTTGGCAATAATGATAAGTGACATTCATGTGCACTATATTACTCCTAAGATTTCTTTGAGGGAAGATGAAGTGGTGGGAGAGGAATTTACAAAGATCCTTCCATTCAACTTTTTTTAGGTTAATCTATGGTGGTACTTGGTAAACATCCCCCCCGATACTTCCATGCAATTTTTAGCTACCTTCGTGTTCATGAAAAATAGGAAAAAGATAGAATCTTCAAGAGTACCCTTGCAATTGGCAATCAAATATAACCTCTTAAAATATAACCTCTTAAAATATTACAAACTTTGTGAGCAAAAATCACTCAGAATTATTTGTAATTGCAAGCCTGCTATGGATAAGATTAATGAAGTTGAAAAGGCTGATATTGTGGAGATTAGGGGGTTGTTATATAAGTATGACAAAATAATAGAATGGAGGATTACAAACAAGAATAAGGTAGTATATCAATTGGCAAGTGAAACTTACATCGACTTGTCAAAATTGACAGGAAAGGTAGATGTCATCGATGTACAAAAGAAGTATCTTAACCCTGAGATCTTGAACTTACTGATATGTAGAAAGTTCATGTTAAGATCTCAGGGTTCGGATTCGATCATTTCTATTGCGCATAAGGATTCAGATTGCAGGAAGAAGGTTACTCAATCAGGTTCCATTAAATCAGATAATTTGCAGCAAAAGAATGATAAGCAGCAAGCAGTTAAGGAAACAAAGGAGAGTAAAGGTAAATCATCTTTGAAAGCTCCTTCTCAGAGCAGAGGGAAAGCAAAGAAAATAAAATTTGTCCTTCCCAAACCCACTCCGAAGTGGCAGCCGGGGTTAAAAAAGCCAGTGGAATCAGTTGATAAGGATACATCCTCATCAGGCCTTATGACGTTGAAATCGCCTCCAACAGTCCATGGAGTATTCAAATGTTCCTGACAAAAAGAGACTAGCTCCGCCCATAATTTACGCCTTCGCTATTTCGTAGTCTTCGCATAAACAGCAGTGAAGAAAAATTTCAGCTCGAAGCAACATTTTCAATTTCAAAATGGAGACATTGCTCCTTATTCCCAATTACAGTAAAAGAAAAATCCCTGCTACCAAAGAACAGATTTTGCCTGAACTTGAAGTAGTAGCATAGTCAAAACCAAGAAAACGTCTTATTTCAGCAATTTGAGATACATCCGCCATTAGTTCTAGCAACACTAGAAGCTTCACCGAATGCATCCTAATTAAAGCTCTTAAACGTTTTTGAGAGGCCTCTTTACGAATGCCTCGAACATTCCAAATAATAATTGCACTAATCATTAAAAAAAATGATATGGGGGAATTATAAGAACAAGGAGAGCGGCTAGGAACTAGACCCTCTTGTACCTGAAGCCTTTCGGCCTTCGTTTTCCGGCCTCATCTTCTCGTAACAGTAATGAATCCATCATGAAAATGCGCATCACCAGTTTCCCCTTCTGACCAATGATTGGACTGTTCTGCCACTTCCTCATGTTCTGAAGAGTTTAGATCAATTATCCCGTCCTCAGTTAAGAACAATTTTTCACGTCCTTGAGACGTATGTTGCTGCACCGGCCTCGATACTGGGGGCGGAATAAATTCTATGAATATTTCATCTGCTTCATCTTCCTCATATTCAACTTCAACACCTTCTGTAGCAGTATCCCCACTTGGAGAGACCACAACAACAGTTGCAAAATCTTCAATGCTCAGCTCAACATTATTGACAGCACGCTGTGTCAAAACAGCTCGCTTTTTCCTGCCTTACCACTTCTGAAATTTCCAAAGTTGAGAGTTGTTTCGTCTGATCCTTTTCCTTCGCCCCAGTCTCATCTTGTTCCTTATTTAAAACTTCTTTAGTGGTCCCCAAATCTTTATTCAGTGGATTATCAGAGGTTGGGCCTCCTTTTCTAGAGTAGCAACCGACATCACATTAGAGACATGATTTTCCCTATCTACATCAATGAAAAGACTCTCCTTTTCCTTCCTGGTAAGGCTTGATGAGAATGCATCCTTATCAACTGATTCCATTGGCTTTTTTAACCCCGGCTGCCACTTCGGAGTGGGTTTGGGAAGGACAAATTTTATCTACTTTGCTTTTCCTATGTTCTGAGAAAGAGCTTTCAAAGCTGTTTTACCTTTAGTCTCCTTTGTTTTCTTAACTGCTTGCTGCTTATCATTCTTTTTCTGCAAATTATCCGATTTAATGGAATCTGATTGAGTAACCTTCTTTCTGCAATCTGAATCCTTATGCCCAATTTTATTACAATTCTTGCATCATTTCTATAGGTAGAATCGGATTCGCCAAATCCGAATCTAGTACAAAATGGATAGATTCGGATTTGCAAATCCGGGACAATTAGTTTTGTCCATCTAAAATAGAAAAAAATTATTTTTGTCCACATCTTTTTTTTTTTTGGAAACATATGGCGATTATTGCATCTTCTCAGGGAGCTCAAACAAATTGAAAACAATTTTTGTCAGAGTTTCTAGTGTTGGCATTTGCATACTTATTATTCTTGCTTCATTGTTATGGTATCAGTTAAACATGAAAACTGAAGAAAGTTCAGTAAGGTGAGGTTGTTCTACTTGGAAAGATTTGTTTAAGATTAATCCTTCTATAGAGATGTTCATAGCTCTGCCCATTTATAGATACTATTTGAAAATGATGAATTATCGAACTATTAAACCAGACATCATAGATGATGCATCCTCAATAAGAATTATAATTCTTTATACTTCAATTTTGTCAATTGTTTTGTCAGTTGGTGTACTTTCATCATACTACAACAAATTAATTTTCGCCTTCAGGCTGGTTAAAGCTGAAAGCAAAATTTTTTCGCGGTAACAACCTACAACTTCAGTGAGCTCATTTTCATTGTAAGTTCATGGACGTCATTATACATGCTTAGTATTCAATGATCATTAATTAAATTTTTCATATGGCAAGTATTTCTCTCAGTTACACTTTGAAATTGTTGTTTCACAAACATGTTTGTATTGATGAACATGCATGCAAACAACATTTGAGTGTATTTGTGAATGCCGTAATTTAAAACCATTTTTTTTATTACCAAATGAATGAAAGTTTGACCTTGAAATAATAGAATTTTGGTTTGTGAAATTTCTCATGATTTCATTGAACAATGTGCGACTTTTTTTTTTTGAACTTTGTATCATGTGTCTTTGAATCAATCACTAGTTTTGATTAAACGGAATTACTTTAGATGTGATCATTCACTGGCAGTGGCATATTGTGGAGTCATGAAAAATATCCTTTATTGTTAGGCAGACAACAACAAAATCAATGACTTGATGGGAGCTGATGACGAAAAATTTTATCACCAAATTGGATGGAGGAGTAATTTAGTTTCATCCTCGAAATGAGTAATGATTTCATAGCCAAGTGAGGAGCTCGTAGCTTTTTACTCAATGTGGAGATGTGGCCGATGTTGTTGGTTAATTAAGTAGATAATTAATTAGTCCTTTTGAATCACAATTTATATTGGTCAAATTTTGAGTTTTACCGAGGGCGTTAATTATCGGGGTCAACCCGAATAACTACCTGAACTGATCGGCCTATTCAGTTCGAATAAAATATTTGCGGCAGTTTGGATGGACTCGGAAAAGAAAGAAACTTCTGTACGGGTACCGGTTAATAATAAAATTATAAATATATAATATATATATAAGATTACTTAGGGGAGTAGGGGAGGGTTGGATGGGATGGTTAGGGGATTAGGATGGGGATGGTTATTACTAGGATGTCGAGGATTCGATTCTCATTGTGGCCACCCAATTTTTTTTTTTTAAAAATATATATATATATATATATATATATAAGATTACTTAGACTAGGGTTTCACTTTCCCTAATTTCCTTATTTATGGTCGTTCTTCTCTCCTTGTTTTTTTTTTCTTGCAGGGGTGACCGTCCATTTCATTCACCAGTTCTTCTCTTCCACCATGGATCTAAATATCAGTTCAATTGCACCATCGATTATTACTTTTTCTTTTTCACCCTTCAATCCCCTATCAGTTTCTTACCCTAATGGCCTAATCCCTATCCGAGCGATGTTTTCTAGTCTCTTTCTCATATTTGAGCTCACATAGTTACATTCTCAGTTTTCAAATTAAAGATTTGAAGTCCCGACAAACAAGTCTTTTTCAAAAGCAAAAGGTAAGCCATCTCTCTCTCTCTCTCTCTCTCTCTCTCTCTCTCTCTCTCTCTCTCTCTCTCTCTCTCTCTCTCTCTCTCGTTCTCCCTCTGTCGCTCTCCCTATTTGTCTCTACTTGATGAAAATCAAAAGGTTCAGAAGTCTGATTATAGAAAGACTTTAGATAAAATTGTATTAGATACACTTTTTGGGTTCTATTCCTCGGTCTTTTGAAAGTTTATCTGTGTAAAATTATTTGATAATTGGATGAAAATTCTTTTATTTTATGTTATTTTTTTATGGGTTTAAGAATAGCCGTTTATATATAATTTGTTTAATTTTCAATTTCATGTATAAATTTTAATAATCTGGTTCTGTTCGAACTTAATTTAAAGAAGCTAGTAGCTAGGTTATTATATTTTAGTTTGGGAGATTTGTTTTGGATGGCCTGCAAGATGGGACTTAGAGTGTTGGGTGATTGTTTCTTTCAGAGTAATGATAGTGATGTTTTTTTTTTTTTTTTTTTACTTTAAATGTCCTAACCTGATGAGATAAAAGAGATTGATGAGGGTGTCGCTGCTGATGCATGTGAAGACGCGGTGATGATTTGTTTTTTGTTTTTTGTTTTTTTTAATTTTTACATACTAAGGAAGCCATAAGGCTTGATTACATTCTAAAAGACTCTAGATGGGTATTTCCTAACATGTCTTTACACATTAAACTTGTAATTCCTTCTGGGGGGTTTACCAACAAATGTAATCCCATGGGATAAGAGTGACCTAGACTAGGAATTTTATCGGCAGTATAATTTACATCTCTTGGCACATGTATGATTTTTATATCCCAATCTTTATCCGCGATCATACTACCAATTCTTCCTTGAAGTGTGCCTGGATACTTTGAGGTGAATTGATCCTGGAAGAGTTCCACTGCCTCTAGGCTGTCAACTTCAACAATGACTTTGCTATATCCCTTGATTCATGCAATGTCAAGACCATGGTAAATGCCCCACTATTCGGCCTCCAAAGGGGAGCAAGAACCAAGATTAGAGATAAACCGAAAATCCAAAGACCATATTGATCTCTGAAAAGTCCTCAGGTGGCTGCATCATTTTCGGGATTTAGGACTGTGCCATCAACATTTTGTTTAAGCCATTGAGTTGGGGGAGGATGCCATACCATGTTCCTGTTCATGTGTTTTGATCCTTTCTTGGCTCCAAAAATTGTGTTTGACCATTGTTTCCTTAACAGTAGCCAAAATTATGCTGCACATTGCATTGCTTCTCACGTCTTTGTATTGAAGAATTTCTTCCTTTCGAGCTTGCCACAACATCCAGTATATGACGCCAAACTAAATGTTCCAAGGAATATTTTCCTACAACGTAGTAGAAGATAAATTAGATATAATCCACTTATTGATATTATTTACATACCAGTAATTAGCTGAATTGTGTTGCAGGAGATGTGTCCAAATCTCCTTGCTCCTGCAATCCCTAAGTATGTGTAGGGTGTAATCTGCCTGACCACAATTATGGCATGAAGGGTTTATTGCCATATGTCTTCGAACTCTTTCAAAGTTTCTTAACAGAGCATTTTTAAGCAATTTCCATAAGAAGAGTTTGATTTTTTCTTGCCCATTCCACTTCCACACAAGTTTCCATTTACGGTATTCCAAATCCCAACTATCGACACTAATAAGAGAATACGCTAATGATGCAGAGAATTTCTTGTTTGTAGTCACTCTCCATGCTGGGTTATCAACACCTCAGCCTTCTACAGGCGGAGGAATAGCATTGATGACCCAACAGCTCTGTTCATTTAACAAAGGACTAAATACACTCCATTTCCAGCAACCATTAGCATCCACAAAATCAGCAATTCTGACATCTCTAAGACTATTCGGGACCTGGGTAAAACAAATCTCAATAGGAGGCTTGTTTAACCCCGTCCAAACGTCCAACCAAAGCTTGTTCTTTTGCCATCGCCCAATATTCAAATGAGGCCTTTAAGGGCAACATTCCAAACACAGGATAGATGTTTCCAGAAGATACATCCTTTCTTTTTAGAGTTAGAAAGTGGCTTTCTACCAAAACTTACACCATACTTTGATCGGAGAATATGACACCAAAGATGGTCTTCGCCAGCTACAAGGTCCCACACAAATTTCAAAATCAATGACGTGTTGATGTCTCTCATTTTTTGAATGCCAAGGCCTCCCCTTGATTTTGTCTGGCATATCTTGTCCCAGCCAACTAGGCTCATTTTTCTCTCACTTTTATTAGCTCCCCAAAGAAAATTTCTGCAAATTTTTTCAATTGTGTCGCATTTTCCTGTGGTTAATATTGCTGATTGCATATATATGAACGAGAGCTCCCAAGAACTGATTTTATAAGAGTCACTCTCCCTGCCAAGGAGACCTTTTCTGGTTGCCACTGCTCCGCCTGTTTCCCAACCTTTTCTACTATTTCAACATATGTTTGCTTAGTGATTCTCCCATGAACAATTGGAACACCAAGATATTTCCCAAGATCTTTTACTAGACGAATGCCGAAGGCTTCACTGATGGCTTGAGCCTTTGAAACTTCTATCTGAGGAGAACAATACACCACTAATTTCTCGAAACTGATAGCTCGACCTGAGGCTTTACAGAATTCCTGTAGGATCTCTTTAATTGTTTGTACCTGCGAAATAGAAGCTTCTGCAAAAAAAATAAGGTCATCAGCAAAAAACAAATGAGAAAGTTTGACCTTACCTTGTACATAGATTAGGGGTTTCCACTTTTAGTTGTTGACCTCTCTATTCATGGGATGTGCAAGTCTTTCTATGCATAAAACGAAAATATAGGGGGAGATTGGATCTCCTTGTCTTACCCCCCT